ATATATACATATGGACTGGTGACTGACAGAATGATCGCGTTTGTCCAAGGGAAGTAGAAAAAAAATACATTGTAAATAAGGAGTTTAAAAATTCTTAAAATTTCCAGAGCATTTGGTTTCCTTTTTATTTTTATTTTTTTTAGGAATACTGTTTTCTTTTCAACTTTGTAATGAACAGTGCTGCCAAGTGATGTAATAGAACATTTTCCTCTTACAGTTATTCCATTATGTGAGCGACGCCTCCGCACAACTCATTTGTTGTAGATTGTCTGACTGTAATAGAATTTCTTTGTACTGTGGGGAGCGCTTGTGATTTGGGGAAAGATGCAGCCCGACTTTGTAGAATGTGCTCTAGGGGATTTGGAAATATAAAAAAGAGGAGATGTGGGCATGTGTGGATATGGGTATGTATTTTGAGTATGTGTGGTTGTACATGTGTGTGTGTGTGTGTGTGTGTGTGTGTCTTTGTGTTTAGATGTGTGTGTGTGTTTGTGTGTGTGTTTGTGTTTGTGTGTGTATGTATATGTATGTATGTTTGTTTGTGTGTGTGTGTGTGTGTGTGTGTGTGTGTGTGAGTGTGTATGTGTGTGTATTATCTGTGTGTGCCAGTTTGAGTTGGGGAGTACACATTAGGATAGACACGTTTTCTTTTTTTCTCTTTTTACTTTTGTGTATTTATGCCAATAACGAAACACATTATTTTTATGCCAATAACAAAACTTGTTTGGTATATCTATGTCTGGCTTGCAGTGAAGCAGGTCCGCCTCGAGTAGTTAACCGTTTCTAACTTGCTTTGATTATGTCAATCTACCCTGCGTCTCTTCCTAACCTGATTTTTTTTCTCCCCCCCCCACCCCCTCACCAACAGGTGCACTGCCCCGGGATTCCCAACTCACTGTTCCAGGGACATCTCAGGACTCGAGCACAGGAGTTGTCTGCCCCTGACAAGGATCCACGCCTGCTGCTGCTGTTGTTGTTTCTGCTGCTGCTACCTTTTTTTGCCGCAGCTTAGCACCAACTAGGTTTTTTTCTGGAAAAAATCAAAAAAATCAGAGAAACGTACGGAAAACACTTCTTGAGCAAACAGAAGTGTGCAGAAGGAAGTCACGGGCTCAGTAGTACACAAGTGGTAGGGAGCTCTCAGTGAAACGAGGAAATCCTCATGAACAGAGGAGGAATAAACATTGTATATGTTTTGATCTCTCAAATTGTAACGATGGTTTTTGAGTGAGGGACAATATCCTGCTGTGTCACTGAGAAGGGAATAATAAGTGGCCAAGGGATTTGTGTTCGTGTGTTCTCCCAGTTGAGTGTGTAGAGTGGACATCACGTCCGTGTGGATATGGTGAACATTTCTCAATGTTTCTATCTGAATGTCTGTTCTGTGAATGCCGTAAGGAAATACACGTAGTAAGGAACTAAACGCAAGTTTGTGTAACTTCGCTGCTGGGCCTTGAGTGCGTAGTGTAGATTGGCCGTCGACACCCTTTTCTGTTTTCCGGAATGTTTCAAGTTTACCCGGAGTTCGGGAGGCCAGCTGGATAACTGAGAGGCTCAGTCTGCGTAACGTGACTACATCTAGGGGACTCAGTGCTGTCCGTTCAGGCTGGTTGCCGTCACGTGCCGGAAATTGCTGGAACCGGAGAGGGTGGCACAGCTCTGTTCTCACGAGAAGGGCGGGGCTCAGAGTATGAGTTCTGTGTGATGGGATGGCGACGCTGATGGGGGTCAGGGATCACCACTCGTTGAAGGTTGCTTTCTTTCGGCACTAGCCGAGGGTACCCGTAGCGCCGAGATAAACTGGCACTTGGGTTTAACCTTTTCGTTGTCTGACGCTCTAGAACTGTTAAGTGCTCAATTAAGATATTGTTAAGCGATAGACATGTTTTCTTGGAAACCACGAAGCTGTTAGGAAAATCTTTACATTTTGAACAAGAAATAGTCACAGGATTATTTTACTAGTCCTACTGTGATCTGAGATTGGTTTATCACGTTCAGCGATAGTCTGTTGTGGTCAGTCACAGTCGGTGACGGTGTGACAGGTTCTAGCTGTTCGCAACCTTTCTTTGGAGGTGGGAGATGGACGTCCGCTGAAACCGTGGCGGCCCGTGGGACCATGAAGCGCTGCCTGTGCCGGTGGCTACGCGCCTGCACTGTGGCCGGCTCCGCCCTCCTGCTCATCTACCTCACCGTGCTACAGGACAACGGGCTGATGGCGGCGCTGTCGTATGGCAGCCAGCCGCTGTCGGACGAGAACAGGGACAGCAACAAGGGCTTCCGGAAACTTCTGGAAGAAGACGCTCTCTCGTCAGAGCGTGTCAACAGTAGTAACCTGGCCCAAAGGCTGCCACAGTGCATCATTATAGGCGCCAGGAAAAGTGGCACTCGCGCGTTGATCAAATTTTTAGAGCTGCACCCACAAATCTTGTCCGCTTCGGACGAGATGCATTTCTTCAGCAACGACACGAACTACAAGCTGGGTCTCGACTGGTACCGTCGCAAGATGCCGTGGTCTCGCCCGGACCAGATCACCATCGAGAAAACTCCCAAATACTTTATCTCGGAAATCTCTCCGGCGCGGATACACCGCATGAACAGCTCCACCAAACTCGTGGTCATCTTGCGTCACCCAACCACGAGGGTCGTCTCTGACTACACACAAATCTGTGCCAACAAACAAGCACGGAACGAGAGCGTGGACCCGTTCGAGTCGTTGGCGTTAGAGCGAGACACGGGTCACGTGAACCTGGAGTACCGCGCCATACAGATCAGCATGTACCACCAGCACCTGGCGCGCTGGCTTGAGCTTTTCCCGCGGGATCAGCTCCACATTGTGGACGGTGGAAACCTCATCGTGAACCCGATCGTGGAGATCGCCAAAGTGGAGACGTTTCTAGGCCTGGAGCATCAGGTGAAGAACGAGAGCATCTACTTCAACAGCACGCGAGGTTTCTACTGCATGCGCGCGGCCAAAGGTCGACCTGAGCGCTGTCTAGGCGCCAACAAGGGGCGGAAACACGTGAAGATATCCGAGAAAATGATCCATAAACTAAACCGGTTTTTCCGCCCTCACAATGAGCGTCTGTACAAACTTATAGGTCGCCGGTTCTCCTGGAGATAGCAGCGGTGGTGTGGACCTGATTGTTCTAATGCTGCATGTCCAGTGTTGCATGCCCTGTGTTATAGAGTAATATGTTCTTTGTCACTTGTTCTGGATTACCTGTGCTGGATTTTATGTCCGTGTTAAGTGTCATGAAATTTGATGTTCTGGATGTAGGGGTGTGTACACATTGTTATTACTTGAAGTCAGAATTCGAACTCGATCTTCATCTAACGCAGAAATCACATTTGATGATACAACGGTGAGAAATGTGACATTTTTTATTTCAGTATAATCGCATCATGTGTGCACACCATATCCATGGTCTCTATGAGTGCCATTGTCAGTGGTGTCTGTCTAGTCACAAGCTGGCTAGGTGTCCGCGTCTCCTGCCGATGTCCTGAGCGATGTGCACAGCATTCACAGGCGGCATGTCCCATGTCTCAGATACAAGCAGTGGGTGGGTGCCCTTGTTTAGGGAGTTCTTTTCGCTTGCTGTCAGTGTAACTGTTGTCCTCATGTGTTCCTGGCGAATGTGGACGTCACTATGCTGGTTTTGCCCCAGAACCGGCGTCTGCGATGTATCAGTAAGACTCTTCGCTGTTGCTCACAGAAGACATGAGTTCGATTTCCGAGTGGTGACATTTTCCATCAAGTATTTCTGTCTGTCTACCGGGATGTTGTATCCGGCTGAGCCGGGGTCGGCCCTTACAAGGAGGGTCGAAGCAGCCCATCTCCTCTATGATTTCAATTGTGCATGGGGGGGG